AATGCCATTTGAGTCCTTCGTACACAATTCTCCTCGGTCTCCCCCAGTACTTGCCATTAACCTTTTAATTATAGCCTGTATCGCAGCTGAAAGAAATTTTGTTTATTGTGAATTAGAAATGTGATCTTTTCGCACTTTTCAGCTGCAGTTGTTTTTCTCCACTCAAAAGATAAGCGTTCCCGCAGACAAAAATATGATATGGCATGATACATCAGTTTCGGAGCACTTTTACCGCATCTTGCTCTATGACAACACCACCGGAACCTTCAGGAGAGATCTTTTACGAGGTTTTCCTAAAAGACACTTCCAGGCTCTTTATATACTCATACCATTTTTAGCGGATCCTGTTTATTTTCGATTACTTTCTAACTCATATTTCTTTTTTGGTTTTATTTCAAAGAAACTTGTCGTTGTGACAAACACCTTAAAACAAACTGGCGCCGCTTAGCACCATACGTAAGCAATATAACTAGCACGGACGCACCCCACCCCGGTGGAATCCTACCTGGTATCATACAAGACATGGCTTTCACGTGTTGTCAAACTTGCACGAGTCATGGGCAGTCACTGGTCGATTTCAGTCTCGATGGCAACGGAGAAGCTTCAGAGAAACCTACTGACTCAGCTCTGAGGGGGGAAATTTCACATCAGACCCAGTTCAGTTTTCCTGTGCCTGGTTTCAGTGAACAAGAGAAATATGGTATAGATCTTGGTTACTGGCCGATGGTCCAGACACCAGGTGTAGCTTACGTTGTGAACACTGGCGTGGGGACTTCACCGTCGGATGCTCTAAGTAACTCCTTGCTAAGCTGCTGGCCGGCAGTGTTGCTGGTGTTTGTGATGTCCTTGCTAGCGGGATTTGTTATGTGGATTTTGGTAAGTTACATCTGTCCTACAGCAGATATATGATTCTGGAATTTCGCAGGAACCCTTAGAGGACCCGCTTAGTAAGTTTAGTTACAATGGCGCGCGAGAGGGACTTTGAAATGGTCGAACAACCAGTTCAGTATAGTGTCACCTATAACTTGTCTTTTTCAGGAGTGTGGGGACAATCAAAGCCAGTTTCCACGTTCTATAACGCGGGGGCCTGGAGAAGGATTCTGGTGGGCGTTTGTCACCATGACAACAGTTGGGTAAGTCATCCATCTTTGGCAAA